GTGCCACAGTTGACCGAGCCGGGGCAGGTGAGGGGCCATGCTGTCCTCGCTGGTCCCACAGACGCTCGGGGAGACAGGAAAATGTCATTTACATGACAAACTGGGTACCACGAAGGAGAGGACAGAGTGAACTCAGACTGGGGGGGACTCTGACCTTGTCCGGGTGCTCCACAATGGCCCCTCAGAAGAAGGGCCATCTCCGCTGAGGACCTGCTAGGAGAAGAGACCATCAGACTGCGGGAGCAGCACACGCAGGGGCCTCCGCTGGGCCTTTCAGTGGCTCATCCAGGATGGTGGAGGCAGGACCCCAGCCAGGTTCCAGATTTCCTGGAGGGTGGGCCAGGGCCGCGCATCGGAGCCCGAGAGCGTCACATGACCAGAAAGGTTGTCTGGACCCTTGGTGTCGTGGCCACCTCCCCACCTGGTGACAACAGAGGGCAGAGGTGCCTGGACCGGGTGTCTGGCAGGTGCACACTTGTGTGGTAGGAAAGCCCAGGTGAGCTGCTCTGGGTGGGCACAGCTGGGAATGCTTCCCTGTTTGGAAAAGAAATATCACAGGCTGTCTGGGTCCCTGAAGTGGGTGACCTCTGATAGAGCGAGGCACGAGAATCACTGTGCATGAAAAACACCCTTAGTAATGCCTTTGTTTATCTTGAGTTTATTTTTATTTATTTGGAGAGATCTAGAGAGCAAGCAGGGGAGGGGCAGAGACAGAGGGAGACAGAATCCCAAGCAGGCTCCGCGCTGTCAGCACAGAGCCCGATGCAGGGCTCACACTCAGGAACTGTGGGATCATGACCTGCGCCGAAATCAAGAGTCGGCTCCTTAACTGACTGAGCCACCCAGGTGCCCCTAGTAATGCCTTTCATGTTCATTGTAGGAGAACCGAAGTAACACGTAAGAGGAGTAAAATGAAATCAATCACCTACAATCCCTGAAAAGCAGGGATTTTTGGTCCCATTTTGCCACTCCGGAAATCGGCCATTGTGGTAAATCGTGATAATATCTTTTTAAAAAAAAATTTTTTTTTAACGTTTATTTATTTTTGAGACAGAGACAGAGCATGAACGGGGGAGGGTCAAAGAGAGGGAGACACAGAATCCGAAACAGCTCCAGGCTCTGAGCTGTCAGCACAGAGCCCGACGCGGGGCTCGAACTCACGGACCGCGAGATCATGACCTGAGCCGAAGTCGGCCGCTTAACCAACTGAGCCACCCAGGCGCCCCTCATGATAATATCTTAATAGAAATAATACTAATTGTCATAATAACATCAATTGTTTTTATTAGAAATAATACAATAACAATGGTAATAGTAGTAAAAAAAGCAACAACCCAGAAATGATAAAAACGGCAGTTGTTTTGTGTGGGTGCAGCTCATAGCTGGCACGGCCTCGTTCTGAGGGGTTGTACTTCTGTCCACACCTGTGACGTGGGCTCAGGCTCAGAGAGGCAGAGCCGCTTGTCCAGGGCTCCCGTGGGACGGGCGGTGGAGCCGGGACTGGAGTCTGTGCTCTGACCACCCCCCACCCATTGAAGATTCCCCTCGCAGCGCTGGAGAGCTTTGCAGAGTCCAAAATATTTCGCCTGGGCTGTCAGGTTCCGTTTCATTTCCAGCAGGCCTTCCAATGGAAACACGACTCTGCCACTTGAAAGTCTTCAAAATAAAACCCAAACCCGCAAGTAGCCGCCCTTTACGGGCTGCCTCAGGATCTGGGGGTGGACTTGGGGGGCGAGGGGGCTGGGAAGGCCTCCCCAGGCCTCCCGCTGCCCCTGAGTCAGGGCTCCTGCCTCCAAACTGGAGGCCTGGGATCTCACTAGCAAGGGTCTTACCAGGGTGTCAGGAGAGCGGTTTGCTCTTTCTTTCTAGAAAAGATGGAGATTCGAGAGCTGGGTTGAGAGGAGGTCCCTGTCTATATATAGCCCACTGAGCACAGCTTTGTGACTTGGGCAAAGCCCACTGTGTGTGCGCATGGGGTGGGGGTGGGGGCCGTGGTAGGGGGAACCATTTTCTTTTCCTGTAAATATTTTTATCCCTCGATAGGAAGCAGTTGAGGGGTCCTATTGTTTGAGTACAATGGCCCTCATTTTCCAAGAGTGTTTTGGCATTTCCCCTTGAAGAGTAGCGGATAGGTTGCTGGGAAGAGGGGGCCCCTGTGAAGAGGCAGGGCCTCGGGGGCCACAGCTTGGGACCAGGGCTTACACCTGGCTCCGGCTGCAGGGGGCAGCCCGAAGCCGAGCCAGGAAGCTGGGAAGGGTTAGGCACATCAATAATACTTTCTCCTGTTATTACATAGGATACGTGTTTAGTTTTTGCAAACGTCACCGTATTTATTGCAGAACAGATAGAAGCTGTTGCAACTCCGCCCGTCCGGGAGTAAGCCTGCTCCCTGTGGCCTCTGTATCTCCTTCCCTGGAGCTTCCTGGTGTGGGCTTGCTCAGGAAGCAAGCTCTCAGAGATGGCCACCCTCCCTCCTCCCCAAATCAGTCAGTCTGTGGAGCGGGGAGACTGACACAGACCGAGCCATCCTAACACTGGCTGCTGCATATCTCGAGCTGAGCGGACTGCCCGTCAGGTGCCAACTGCCCGTGTGATCCTTGCACATGTCACATTCTTTGCAATACTTGGGATACCTAGGTGAAGTCAGTGCTGTCACTGCTCTCATTTACAGATGAGGAAACTGAGGCTCAAAGAGGTGATGGGATAGGCCCGAAGTCGCACTGAGTCAGACGTGAAGTCAAAGTTGGGACTTTTCAGGAAGATCTGGGCGTTTCTAATGCCCACATTGGTCATCGGTCTGCCAGGATGCAGGTCAAACATTGAACCCTCCAAATTGAGGTCCCCTCCAACTCCATCCAAATCCGTGGAGTGCCATTTTGTTAGCTGACAGAGCTGGGGAGGCTCTCTGGAGCCACCTTGGCCAGGTTTTTGTTACCCTGAGCGGAACCTGAGGCCTAGAGCAGGAAAGAGACTTTCCCTGGCACTAGGGCCTTCACCGTACTGGCCTGCGGACATATCCCCTCCACGCTGCAGTGGGGGGTGCGTGGGTTAGCAGCCTGCCATGGACTCCAGAGACCTATCCCAAGGTGAGTGTGCCTGTCTAGGGCCAGGACAGAGTGGGAGACCTTGGTCCTGGCTGGGCCCTGAAAGCTGGCCTGGGTTCAAGTCCTGGCATCACTATGGCTCTGGTTGGACCTTGGGAAAGCCCCTTCATTGCCCTGAACTTCACTCTCCTTATCTGCCTCATGGGTAAGATGCAGCTTTGCCTCCAAGAGGAGGACTTGGGGGGATGTGCTCAGCAAGGGGTGAGCACACTGTCCCCTTCTCAGGGGACCCCGTTGCCCTGCTGGACGGTTGGGGGAAGCCACGCCTCACTCACTGCCCCGGCCCACCCCTAGGTGCCATTGGATGAGCGCATCATCTTCTCTGGGAACCTGTTCCAGTACCAGGAGGACAACAAGAAGTGGAGGAACCGCTTCAGTCTCGTGCCTCACAACTATGGGCTGGTGCTCTACGAGAACAAAGTGGTGAGGCCCCCCCACCCACCCTGCCTCGGTGGCCCCCCTGAGTCTCGTGCCCTGCCCCTTCTCTGCAGCCTCCACCTCCAGCCTGCTTGTTCTGCTGGGTTCCCTCTAAACAGGTGTCCAGGTGCCCAGCTCTGGGGGTCACCTTTCACTTTGCCTCCCCCTAAAACCAACTCGCCACTAGCCTCTCCCCACCCTCCAGGTTGCCTCAAGTCCGTCCAATCCCTCCATTTCCAGGCCCTAGTCCCCCTCCCTGCCCCCTCTTCCTGGCTGGGCTCCCTGAAGCTCTTCAGACCTCTCCCATCCTTGCTCTTCAACAGCCACAAGAGTCTGGCCATTCCCTTTCCCTGCCCCCCCTCCCCCCCTTACCCAGGGTTGTGGTCCCATCTTTCCTTCCTGATTCCCTTGCCTGCCTTGCAGCCTCCTGCTCTGTACTGGGTGCGTAAGCATCCTGCAGATTGTTCCTTATCTTTGCCTTGAGCCCTTGGGGAAGCCCTACCTGTTTGAGCCACAGACCCAATTTCTACTACCAAACATTTCTCCAAAGTAGCCAAAAGGACAGGCCCAGAGTGCCCTCTGTTCAAGGAAAATCAATGTTAAAGAAATGTAAACAGTGTGGGGGGGAGCGGCCTGATTGCCCAGGGCAGTGGTTCTCAAACTGAGAGCTTGAATCAGAATCACCTGGGAGGCTTGTTGAACAGGTTGCTGGGCCTGCCCAGTTTGGTCTAGGTCTGAGTGGAGCTGAGAATTTGCATTTCTAACAAGTTCTCCGGTGATGCTGTTGGTGCTGATGACCTAGGACCACACTTTGCAAATCGGTGTCCCGGAGGCCCTGAGCCGTTCTGAAGAAATGTGTTGGGTAGTGACACCTAGTGGCCAGATGCAGCATGGCAGCCCTGCTGTATGAGCTATGACCTCAGAACCACTTTTTACCCACCCTGGTGAATGAAAGCAGCGTCCAGACCTAATTCTCCTCCAAAGGGGGCTTGTGTGGAGCTCAGAACCTAGGAATTTGGTGGACAGTTCAGGGTAATGATCAAAGACTCTGGACGGGGATAGACCATGTTCATGTCCTAGGTCGGCTGTGTACCGGCTGTGTGAACTTGTGGCTACCGATGGTACTCGCCTCTTGGATTGTGAGAATTTTGTGAAAGGAGGCTTGCATTGTCCTTAGCACGGTGCCTGGTGTGTAATAAACACTCAGGCAGTGGTCGCCGCTGGTGACAGGGACGGCAGTGCCGGTCACACTTACAGTGCCTGGTGGTGAGGCCCTGTGCTGATCCTATCACACGGATCATCTCAGTGCTCACACAGCCCTGTGGGGTAGGAGCTGCCCCTGTCCCGGTTTTATAGACCAGGGAACTAAAGCATAGGAGGTGAAGGAGCTTAGTGTCAGCATCACACAGACAGTGTTCAGTGGAGCCAGGATTTGAGCCCAGAGCCTGGATCCAGGTCACTACAACATGTGGTTTTTCTTTTTTTCTTTTCTTTTCAATATTTATGTATTTATTTATGTATTTATGTATGTATGTATGTATTTAGAAAGGGACAGAACAAGAATGCAAGTGAGGGAGGAGCAAAGAGAGAGAGGGAGAGAGAGAATCCCAAGCAGGCCCTCTCGCTGTCAGTGAGGAGCTGAGCGGACCTGAGCTGAAATCAAGAGTTGGACGCTTAACGGACTGAGCCACCCAAGCGCCCCCTACACCATGTGGTTTCTAATCAGTGGGTGGGCTCCTCCTCCTCTTCTCTCTCCCTCCTCCCCTTTTCCTTCCCCTCCTCCTCCCTGCCTCAGGCAGACAACACTGAGAGGGCCCTGGAGCCAGACCTGGAAATGAGAGTTAGACTTGGCCACGCTATAACCCCGAGGGACCATTCCTCTTGTCCCTTCCTCAGGCCTACGAGCGACAGGTCCCACCACGGGCTGTCATCAACAGTGCAGGCTACAAAATCCTCACCTCTGTGGATCAGTACCTGGAGCTCGTCGGCAACTCCTTACCAGGTAAAGACCCCCCCATCCCAGGCCGAAATGCCTTGCTTAGGCCCAGGACATTGCCAGGGGGGAGGGCAGCCCTGAGCTCCTGTCCGTATTTGCAGAGAGAATGGCCAGGCCTCAGCAGGGAGGCTGAGAGGGGGTTTGCCTGAGGCTGAGCGGGCGGGGATTCAGTGGGACTGAACCATTGTCGGCTCCCCCCTGCGTGCCCACTTCCTGAGCCTTACGGTCACAACTATGCAGCGGGGGTCCCACTCTCTGCCCTTTCCACCTCCCTGAGGCCTTTTAATGCCCCTGGAGAGGATGACCGAGGTGAACCTCTTTGTAAACCGTGGAGTCAGTACTGCATTTGCGAGGAGTTATTCTAGGCGTCCTGTTTCCACCCCACCCTGCCAGGGACTCCCGGAAGCCTTACAGGAACACATCTGCCTCCCAGATGATCCCAGGGAAACCAAGGGGTGGGGGAGAGGCTGATCTAGGGGGCAGTCTGTGCCCCCGGATAGGGCTTGGGAGTACAGTGCCCCGTGTGGTTGAGGGCTCAGCTACAGCCCAGAATTCCTGGATTCCAGCCCCGACTCTGGCTTTGTTTTTGTTGTGTCTTCTCCGGCAACTTGGCACCGAGAGGACTGACCTTGGGGTGTCGTGTAGACCCCTCGAGGTGCTGTGTACACCCAAGCCCCACCCGGGGACTCAGAGCCAAGGCGCAAAGAAGAACTGTCATTGTATGATTAACAGTGGCAAGGTCCCAGCCCAGGACCACTTATCTCACTGGATCTCGAATATCCTTGCGGACAAAATGGAGAAAAATCTCCTTTTATTTATTTTCTGTCCCCCACCCCCAGACCTCCCTTCCCCCCCCCTTGGACATTTAAGCC